TATTAAGGAGGTGCTTCCATATAAAACATGAATAACGAGTATACTATTGTAGCAAACGGAGTTTATTTATTCTTGACCGAGATGTCACGTGATTGTCAAGGCAATTGATCGCATTGTATTGTGATCCATAATCCAGTTTACCTGACTGAGTGGACGTGTAAATCGAGCTGATGAATCGCAGGCTTGATGAGTTCGAGAAGTCCTTCTGCAACAGGATCTGTACTGGAGAATGCGTCCACCACAGCGACAGCAGCCATTTCGCTCAGAAAGCAACTGCAGTCAGGAAGTCACGTGTTCGTGACGCTAGTAAACCGTCATCAATGCTACATTCTATTAAAATACGGGAGTTGGAATTTCGACCTTCCTCTGTGAACAGATAATTTAGTAAAACGTCAACAAATCGATTTTAAAACTTTGTGACATATTAGTAAATGTATGATTTAATTTAAACACATAACAAAAACAAACTTAGTTGCGAGATCCTTTAGGAGACAAATTCAAATACCAAAAATGCTCTCGGAAGTGACGTCAATCTTATGTGCGGTTTCTTTATTCCTACATACATTGAACATATCTGTTTCTCCATTTTCCTGCCCAAGTCATCCCAGCAGCACCATTTTAGCCACATAGGTAGTTGAACCAATGCGAGACGTGATTCTGTAGTTTTCTTCATTTACTTTGAGGATCTTTAATTCAATTTTTACTTTATGCATCTACTGAATAGGAAACCAACCTGTTATATTTTATTTAAACCGAGTATCACAAAAATACCTACTGGAAGACACTGAAGCTAGCTGCTAAAGTTAACCGCACCAGATTCCTTTCTCGTAAGACGCAACAGTAAGTACAAACAAACACTATGCTACCACTATATATATCAGATCCCCCAAGAACAAGTATATTTGTTCGTTAGGGTTAAAAAAGAACATCTATGTGTAGTGCTAGTGATACGAAAATATCTTATTAATTGTGAATCGACATGATAGGAAATCGCGACTCACCGGTTTTCTGTGAAAGGATATTGTACATTTATTTCAGTTACAAGCACATATTCAAGGAATTAGAATTCTCATCACAAACCACATATTTATATTTTGATTTCTATATATATGTGTGTGTGTGTGTGTGTGTATTTGTATGTAGAGAACATTTTTAAAATATGAAAAACTTAATATCTCTGGATATGTCTGGAGCTGCTGAGTAGATTTAATTTGAAAAAGTAAAAGAAAATATTGAATTTTTATAACAATTTGAAAAGATGTACCATTTTGGGACACATTTAATCTCCAGGGATTAAAGATACAGTAGTATGTATTTTCCATCTTGCCATTTTATAGCATGATCATAAAAATGCTGTACATATCAAACATAACTTTGACTTTGCAATTGTATGACTTGAAATTGGGCCTCTGTCTCTTTAATTAGTTCCTGCTCCGTCCAACACTCTGCCTTCAGGACATCATCATAATATAATTCCTCTATTAGCTCTTTAATATCGTTTTTAGGAGTGTTGCGCTGAAAAGTTGTTAGTTTGATAAGCTCAGCAGATGCGCAAGTGTGCAGTTCACTGCTGTTGCTAGTTTAAACGAGCTGAGTGGGGGAGTTGGAGGGGTGCTCTTTGGGGTTGGAGCTTCGCTTGGAGACTAAAGCTCCAGGAAGAAGTTATTTGGAATAGGTAGCATTTGATGATTCCTTTTGTGG